ATCATGCTTGGGAGGGTGGAGGGACAGCGCAGGAGAGGAAGGCCCTCTATGAGGTGGATTGATTCAGTAACCGGGATAATTGGAATGGGAGTGTCAGAGACGGTGCGTTTGGCACAGGACAGAGCGGAGTTTAGGGCTGTTGTACATAGGGTCGCTATGATTCGCAAGTAACTCGACAGCACATAACAACAAACAACAGTCTCATTTAGCAGTGGTTAAGTGTCATCAAGTCAAATACAACTCATAGCGACCCTAAAAGACCTGAACTCTATTCTATAACGAACATCATTTCTGTACATTTATCGAGTTTATAGTTTATCAGTTTCCTGATGTATAGAGTCTTACATGCTAAACCTTTTAGTATATTGTAAGAGAAAAGGCTTGATCCCAGCAAGAGATGACCCCTTGCCTCTCCCATCTTCCCTTGTTTCATTCCAGACCTGCCCTTCGGAGGAACTGTTCCTCAGGGGCCTGTGATGTGTGTTGGCGCATAGGCCCGTGGAGACCTTGTACAGTGACCTGCGGCAGTGGCTTCCAGGCTCGGAAGGTGGACTGTGTGCACAGGGGGAGCTGCAGGCCTGTGGTGGAGAGGCACTGTGGGCAGCAGAAGCCGGCTTCCTGGCGCCACTGTCTTGGGCCTTCCTGTGATAGTACGTACCCCTCTCAGGTATCACCACTTCCTCGAACCCTCTGTTCAAACCAGACCCCAATGATGCCTCCTTCCTCCATGGCACAGCTGAGGGGAATCTTAGGATAGATATGATAGTGTGGGATGTCTGACTATAAGCCCCTTTGGTGGAGACCCACTCAGTGTTCCTAAGACCAAAAAGAGTTGAGTTCTAGAAAGCCAGCATTGGCTTCTGCCTTCCCAGTGAGGACTGAGAGCCTTCTCTACTAAGACTTCCCTTCTGTCTGGGAGTCTCAGCTTCTAAAACAGAGGTTCCATGAGTGGGCATGTGTAGATAAGAAAATGTCTGAAAGTTGCATTTGAGCTCTGGTGGCCGAGTGGTAAAAACCTGCACTGTAATCTCCAATGCATGGGGTTCTAATCTGTTGGCTGCTCCATGAGAGATGGGCAATCTCCTCCCATGAGATTAGCTGCCTCTGAAAACCCACCAGAGGGTCAGCTATGAGTCAGTTCCAACTCGATGGTGCTCAGCAAGATACATATATATGTCTAGTTAGCTGGTTCATAGCACAATTCCCTTAAAGAAGCATAGCTACTGTAAGAATTGAGGGAGCTCTAGTGGTTTAATGGTAAGGAGTTGCACTGCCAATCCAAAGGCATGTGGTTCAAATCCACCAGCTGCTCCCTGGGAGAAAAATTGGCAGTATCCTCTCATACAATTTACTACCTCTGAAAATCTACTGGAGGGTCAGCTAATAGTTGGTTCTGACCTGATGGGCACAGAACAACAACTCTAAGCATTGAAAGGGCAACGCGCCCAGCTGGACTGTGACTCATCCAAAGAACAATGAATCGCAACTCAACCTAGTTGACAAGTGAGGCCAATGGGATTCCAACACATGTCTTCTCACTTGGTGGTGAGCTCAACCTATTGCTTTTTATAAAGTCAAATGATTTTTCTTAATTGAATCTTTAAATGTAAAGCTTCTGACCTAAAGTTTGACAGTTGGAATCCACCCAGAGGTGACTCTGAATGACCTGCCTATCTATTCTGAAAGATCACAGCCAGTGAAAACCCACAGTTCTAGTCTGACACACAGGAGGGCCCTGGGAATCAGCATTGAATCAGCAGCAGGTCATATGGGGCTTTGTTGCTCTAATACACTGTGTATTATGGATTTTTTTTTCTTCTTTTTCTCAGGAGACTGCGCAGACACCACGCACTACTGTATGTTTGTAAAGCATCTTCATTTGTGTTCGATAGACCTGTACAAACAGAGGTGTTGCCAGTCATGTCAAGAAGGGTAAACCCATGGTGGGGTCCTGATGCTGCTGTGAAGATAAAACCCTAAAAGCTCTTTTCCCGAAGTAGTGGGTTCAGAAACATGTATCTCCTAACAGACTCTAGGTTCCACGTGATCAAACAGTTTCATGAACAAAACACCACTGTTAAAATTTTGTCAAGTGGCATTTTCCCTGAGGCCAGTTTTTCGAGTTCAGCTCTCTCAAGCAACATGCTCCGGGTCTAACACTAGTAGCATGGCATGCATGCCATCGCACTTGGTCCTCAACATATCCTCCCACTAGGAGCCCCAAGCCCTCCCACTAGGAGCCCCAAGCCCGGGAGAGCATCACCACATCCTGCTGCTTGCCTGGGGTTCACACGTCAGCATACCGCAGTCCATCCTGGAGACCTGGGAAACATGGACTTCCCTCCCTCTCAAGTTTTAAGGTTTCCATAGATTTGGAAGGTGTTTACACTTTAGGAGCCCTGGCCAGTAGTTGTTAAAATATTGGCACTAAGTGATGCAGTTAAGTGCTCAGCTGTGAATCAAAAGGCTGGAGGTTCAAGTCTACCCAGAAGCACCACAGAAGAAAGGCCTGGTGATCCATTTCCCAAAGGCCACAGCCAGTGAAAACCCTATGGGGCAGAGTTCTACTCTGACACACATGGGTCTCCATGGTTCAGAATCCATGTGATGGCAACTGGTATGGCTGAGTCCCTGAGGAAGAGGTGAGCTCTCTGGACTGATGCACACAGACGAATCCAAGGATTCACTAGGGGGCGGAGGGAAGGTGTCATTTTGAAACTACTTTTGCACCCATGGGAGAAAGTGTAGACGGGACAGCTCACAACAATGAAAACCTTTCTGTGACCATATGAAGCGTCCTGGGAAGCAAAGGAAAGGGTAGGTTAACTGTTTCTACTGATTTTTGAGTAATATTCCAAGCTTTCTTTTAAGAGCTGTGAACGGAACTTTTTCTAAGCACTATTCTCTTTGTATGCAAACAGAAAAGCCAAAGCCTTAGCAGACCCAATTTATGCATCAGATAGTCTTCCTAAGGATTGTTTTAGGGAGAAAAAATATCATAACATCATCTAAATATATTGTTTACAATAGCTCCTTTCATTAGCGATGATTTTCCAATAAAACTGAAGTGCATTAGGCTAGCCATTAAAATTTGAACTAGAGGTCAGCTTTAGAATTTGAGAAACAAGATTAGGGTTAGCTTTAGTTTCAGGATAAGGGGCTAGGATTGAGTCAGATAAGAATGATAGTTTAAGTAGGACTAGGGCTAGGGTTGACTTTCAGCCTTAGGGTTAGGGCTATGTTAGGCCACAATTGGGTTTGTTTTGGATTGGAGCCAAAGCTGGTGCTCTTGATAGCATCAGAGGGGGTTCAGTTTGGAGTAAACATTGCTGCTGAACTAAGTTAAAGCTAGAATTCTGTTATAAATTCTGAAGTTCATGTTCGTTTGGTTATGGGAACCCTCTTGTGTAGCGTGGCACATAGGGCAAGGTTCCAGTCTGTTTTTCATGGGGTCACAATGAGTCATCATCAACAGCACTGAGCAGCAATGACATGGCATGTAGCCCCAAATAAGTAGGCATATTTCTTTATCCAGTGTCCCAATCACCTGTACACATGCTGTCTGTATGTAGTCCATTTGGCAACAGAATTGCCTGAAGCAGGTTGTGTTAGACCTAATCCCTGGTCAATAAGTGTAGCAATGCATCGTGGCTTTGGGTCTGTGTGTGGAAGATGCTAGCTGAGTCTATCAACCGTCCTCTGAACACCAGGTCTCTCTTGTTGCTTCGGCCTCACAGACACTGGCACGAGCACTACTGTATGTGGGATTCGGTGGCGGGGGATGGACGAGGAAACGTGAAGAGGCTGCACCAGCCCAGGAGCTTTCAATCATCAGTCGCACTTGATTGTTAAAAGGTTTTTAAATTAAGAGAAAGATCACCTGTAAAATACTTTGTATATATTTATTATATGACTTAAAGGTGCAATATTTTATTTTGTACAGTATGTAATAAAGACATGGGACATATATTTTTGTTTTTCTTATTAAAAAAATGCCTCCTTAAATTGCTTCACCTTTGTATTTAAAGATAAAGGTTACTGGTTTTCATTATTGTACTTTGGTCTTGATATCCAAATGACATTCCTGTGTACTTAGTTTTACTACTGTTTCTATAACATGAGAGTTAAATGTTTCTCTTTCACAGTTCTTAAGTCATTCAGAAATAAATTGATTACCCAGTGATATCTTTATAAATGTAGGTGGTTGATTTGTTTTATATTTTTAGCCCCAGGCATTGTGACCTTGGCTTCCCTTCAGCATTAATAATGTGGCATCTACCCTGGTGGCTTCGGTGCCCTGAGACTGTCCTTTGAAGTACTGGTTTTGTGGTTAGAGAGTCCCTCACACTCCTCCATCACACAATCATTTTATATATTTTTTGTGGACCATACTTAAAATAATTTTATCAGGAGAAATAAAAAAAGGCCCCTGTAAGTAACCTGAAACAGGTATAGAGATGGATGTAATGGGAGAACAAGGTGTTGTCACGTCTTCTCATTTGGGGGGAAGAGTATAGGGTCTGACGTCAGATGTCAACTGTTGGAGCCTGTTTAACAGTGAATTGGTGGAGGCATTCCCTCCTGTGTCTTCCTATCATTTGCATAGAACGTTAAGAGGAGCACTTATACCCTAAATGAAATGGACTGACACATGGGCTGCAATAATGGGCGTGAGCCCGGAAGGGATGGTGAGTTGGACCGTTGAACAAGCTTTCTATGTTGCTCATAGGGTCGCTATGGGTCGTAACCAATCCAATGGCATCTAACATAAGGAGCCATCAGGCAAAATTCATGTTCTTGGAGGTGTGCTGTAGTTGGAGGAAGAATGTTACAGATCCCCCTAGCTGGACTTCCAGGCCTGAACAGTCCTTGAGGAAGCCTGATAATGTCTTGCTAAGACCCGCCCATATCCTGATAAGGCCCTGGGCTTGATCACATACAGACAGGACCCCTGCCCCCAAATTCCTAAGCAAACTACCATCCCCTCCAAATCTTCTTAATAGCCCCTATAAAAGGAAACTGCTTTTGTCTGCCTGCATGCCATTCTGATCTTCTCATTTGGCATCCTATCCCTCACAGACCACATAATAAAGGCCTGTTCGTTACTCGGGACCAGTTTCTTCTTCTCTCTTTCTAACAGTGCTTCACTGGCCACAGGCCTCAGGATTTCCAAAGTTACTTGTTGAAGACAAAAATCAATTATGTAATTTATAATATTGAACCACACAGGAGATAAGGAGTAAGATAACTTCAGACTCGGATAAGTTTCCTTTTCCTTTTTTTGAAAAAGAGTTAAATAGGTAACTTCAAAGGCTGCTGAATGACTACAAGTGGAAAGAATCACAGAGAGACAGGGATCAGACATCACATCAGTAGAACAAAGGAATGAAGCAAAGGCTCGTGTATGGATTCAAGAAATCATATGATTAAATGCAACACCCTTTCTTGATTAAAACTCCAAGACTACAACAGAGGGGAAATCCTTCAATGTGAAAAGCTAACAGCCAACATGATACTTAGAGGCAAAAAGCTGAGCCCTTTCACTCTGAAGCTGGGTATAGGACATATGTGCACTCTAACTGCTATTCAATATTCTTCCTGAAGTCCCATCTAGAGCAGCAAGACAAGGACATAAAAGCAACCCAGACTGGAGAAGAAATAAAATTATCTCTATTAATGGCTAAGATAGTCCAGAGTAAATAAGAAGAGAAAAAAAATCCCAGAGTCTACAGAAAACTTCCAGAGCTAATAGAAGAATTTAACAAAATTGCAAGGTACAAAGTAAAAAACCAACCAAACAAAACCCCACAACAACCAATTGATGTTTGTCCACACAAGCAGTGAGAAGCCAAAGAGAAATTAAGGCAACAATGCCATTTCTCCGAACAGCACGTGCATATGCAGGGACACAAGGAGGGAAGGGGATGGACGTGTCCTACTGTCCTTTGGATTTCCACGTCCCCCTTTTTTCAGCAGATTCAGCCAAGTTTGCTGGTGGGAATCCCTCCCAGAATCTCAGAGAGTATTAAAAATGTATTACGAAGCTCCAGTTAAAATGTGAGTGTGTGTGTGTGTATTCTTGCATAGTACTTAAAGGAAATCCAGGGAGAGGATGAATGAGTCCTTGTTAGCTTGCCTCAGTTCTATTTTGGAGGTCCCTTTAACTCATGCACAGACATACAGATCCCTCTTACTTGAGTTCATGCTATCTCCATCATCCTACTTTTCTTAAACTTGGCTATTTTTTTTTAAATTCAGTTGAGCAGGCTTTTCTTTAAGGTAGCTTTCCTTGTGATCCAGGAAAAGTGTCCCATGTACATACACTTTGTGGTCCTATCTATTTTCACCTGTTATATATTAAATGATGACTTAGAGGATAACCCCTTGGCCAACTGACTGGTGGAGATCCAAATTTATTCCCAATGCAAAAAAAAAAAAAAAAAGTACCTGACAGTGTGGAAATTATCAAAAAATATCACTAATATCACACACATGCAAGACCCTACTGAAGATTATCCAAAACGATTGGAAAAGCACATCAATAGAGAGTTGCCAGATGTGCAGACTGGGTTTAGAAAAGGCTATGGCACTTGGGACATTATAGCCAATGTCAGATGGATCTTGGCTGAAAGCAGAGAGTATCAGAGAAATGTCTGTGTTTCATTGACTATGCAAAGGCATTTTACTGTGTGGGCCACAACAAATTCTGTCTAACCTTGAGGAGAAAGAGAATCCCAGAACACTTGATTGTGCTCATGCAAAACCTATACTCGGACCAGGAAGTAGTCCTCATAACAGAGTAAGGAAACATTGAACACTGCATGGTTCACAATCAGAAAAGGTGTATGTTAGGGATGCAACCTATCTCCACACCTTTTCAATCTATATGAGGAACAGATCATTCTGGAAGCTGGACTTTATGAGGTGGAACTTGACATCAGATTGGAGGAAAACTCATCAACAAGCTGCTTTATGCAGATAACACAACCTTGCTTGCTATAACTGAGAAGGACCTGAAGTATTTGCTTCAGGAGGTCAAGGACTGCAGCCTTCATTATAGACTGAAGTTCAACATCAAGAAAACAAAGATTCTCACCACTGGCCCAATTGGCGGAATCATGATAGATGGAGAAATGATTGAGATTGTTAACAGCTTTAGCTCACTTGGTTCCACAATAATTACTCTTGGTACCAGTAACCAGGATATCAAAAGATGAATTGCATTCAGAAAGCCGCCTGTCAGGAAACTCTCCAGAGTACTGAAGAGTGACAATGTCAGTCTAGGGACTAAGGTGCATCCGATCCAAGCCATAGTCTTCAAAATTACTTACTATGCATCAGAGAGAGGGACAACAAATAAGAATGAAAGAAGAAAAATTGATGCCTTTGAGTTGTGCTAGAAGAGACAATAAACAGATCTGTCTTGGAAAGGAGGAAACGAGGCTGCTCCTTGGAGGCAAAGAGTTTGAAGCCCCATCTTACGTTCTTTGGTCATGTGGCCAGGAGGGACTAGTCCTTGAAGAAAGACATCATGCTTGGAAAGGTGGAGGGACAACACAGAATAGGAAGACCCCGATGAGATGGATTGACACAGTAACTGGAGTAATGGGGGTAGGTGTGTCAGAGACAATTGGCTCAGGATAGAGAAGAGTTCAGAGTTATTGTACATAAGGGAGTCACAAGCAACTCAACGGTACATAACAAGAGGAAACACTTTACTCATCTTTGTATCTTCAACCTACAGCATTGCCTCAGGAAACCCTAGTAAATGTCTTAGAAAGTTATCTTTGTTCAAAGAATGAGCTGGTGACCTTCATCAGAGTACAGAAGGATTTGGATATTTGGCATTGGAAAACAGGACAAGAAAAAAATAATACAATAGTGTTCTATAATTTCTATTTTAAAGTACATGATACTATTTTCTATTCAAAAGCTAAAACTAATTATGTATATCTAGCAAACCTAAAAGACATAATTATCATATTCTATTTTCCAGAGAGAAGTGAGTGCAAAGATCATTTAATGAAAATGTACTCCTTTTATTGTTTTAATCCTTTTGTACAGAAAGAGAAAATTCTACATACATTTTTCACTAATACATGCTTATATAAAATTTTCAATGTATTTTATATTTAAAATTTGTAAATCTTCAAATTAGCTTAATATTTTGAAACCATTTGAAACTATAAAAGATATTAAAATGTACTTAACAAAATACTTTCATAAGGCAATCAATTATTTATCCATGAAAAAGCATCAAATAAAAGTGTGATTCATTAGGAAATGTTCAGTATTCTATGTGTAATATGCTTTTTATACTATCATTTCATCGTTCCCCTTTTAGTCTTTGTTTTCACATTGGAAAAGACCCATGGTAGGCATTGCCGTAAGGTGCTACCTACCTACAGTTAAACCGAAGATCTCTCCACAGCTGTTAGGTATTTTGAATATATTTCACAGAATAATTAGACAAACTTTGTAGCAAATTCTATAGAGAGCTGTGCTGCTGATGTAAAGGTGGTGACTTTCTGGAGCTCAAATCTACCAGCTTGAGAAGAATGTGCAGTCTCCTCCCTTCACAGTCTCAGAAATCCACCAAGACTCATGGTGACCCTGTAAAGAGTGGATCTGAACATTACCCTATCCTGTACCATGTTCACCATCTTGACCCATTGAGCCCATTGTTACAGCCACTGTGTTAATTCTTCTTATTGGGTGTCTTCTCTTATGTTGATCCTCCATCTTTCCCAACATGATGTCTTTCTTCAGAGACTAGACCCTTGTAACAACATGGCCAAAGTATGTTCTTCTCTAAGGAGAACCCTGGTTTAACTGTCTCCAAGACAGATTTATTTGTTCTTTTGGCTGTGCATGGAATATTCAATACTCTTCTCCAACACAACTCAGAAGCACCAATTCTTCTGTCATCCTTATTCACTGTTCAACTTTCAGGTGAATAGCAAGCAACTGAGAAGACTATGGCTTGGATCAGGTGCACGTTATAAACTGACATCATTGCTTTTTAGTACTCTGGAGAGGTCCCTGACAGCAGATATTCTCAGTGCATCTCACCTTTGATTTCCTGACAACTGGTACCAACCAAGAGTGTTTATTGTGGGTCCAAGTAGATATATCACTTGCAACTTCAATCATTCAAACCATGTGATTCGCTCAACCCAAGCTCCCTCTTTCCCATAAAAACTTCATAGGTGACTTTGAAACTTTAGAAGACCTCTCTCAGAAATGCATACTACTCAAACTCAAAGCAAACAAAGTTATTTAACAATGCTTGAGATAGATCATAACAAGCATTCAGCAGATAATAATTCTAATTTGAAAACAGGAGGAAGATAAAAATTAAAAGACAGGATTTGATGCTTAACACAAACTTTTGTAAGGCAAACAGAGCAGATATCCTTTTACAAATGAAGACAAAGATTCCCAGAGATGAGCCACTTGCCCAAGGTGGCACAAATAGGAACAGTGTAATTAGAACTTGAATTTAAATCTTCTGGTTCCCAGGTTTTCCTTCAACACCACAATGACGATCTTGCCAACTTCAGTGCCGTGGAACACTGCAGCTGACTGCATCATCACAAAGGAAGACTTCACTGTATGTGCACTGTGTAGACAGATGCCCTGAAGTCAGAGGAGAATGAATACTATTGTCTTGGGAGAGGAGTTCATGTATCATTTTTCAATGATAGTCTTAACACACTTGATAAATGACAATGGATATGGGAATAACACTGTAATTACAGTGTGAATAACACCATAATTACACTATAATAATCCGAAACAAAAGTATAATTGATAATAGATTAGGGACAAGCTATCTAATAGTATATTAGATATAAAAATGTTCAGTTTTTAAAAATACGTATTGAAGAATAATCTGAGTAAAAATGAAAAATAAGATTCTGATTCCTTATAATAAAGACTCCATTCTAACTCTTTAAAAATCAAGAAAAGTGATTAATTTGTGACATTTCTCATAAATTTTTTTTCCACTCTAACAATGGCTATGCCCTTGGAAAATGAGCCTCTTGCTTGCTGGTTATTTGAGGATTAGAAGGCCTTCACTGCAGGGGTGATTCTGCGGAAGAATTTATGTCCTTGGGAGTTTGTATTTTCAAATACATAACCTGGAGGAGAAGGATAGCTAGCAGGGCAGATTTCCTGTTTCTTTGGCGTGTACTCTGTGGAGTACATAGTCACGTTGTCGAATGGAACAGAGCTCCTCAGAGTCACAGGCAAAGGCTTGCAGCTCTCTGTGGGAATCAGCTCATGTGGCACATAGTGAGCTCGGAACGTGCTCAAACCATCAAATTTTCCAGACGGGTTGGCGATCTGCGGTTGCCTCTTAACAATTCCTTGAGGACAGATTTCCCATGCTGGAAAATCTTCCTTCGTGGTGCTTTTTCCTTGGAAAGGAAAATTCTTATTTCTTCTCTGAGAAACTGGTCTTATGGGCAGAGCCCTGTTGGCCTGGTAGGGAACGTAGTCCAGATGGCTGGTGCTGCTTAACTGCATACCGCCTGTAGGTGGGACGTACTCCGGAGCCTTCTTGACTATAGGCGATGGAATTTCCCAGGGCTGAAAACTATCTCGGAACTCAGTCCTTCCTTCAAACTGAGCGCTTTGGGCCACTTTATTGTATGCAGGTTTGCAGATTTTGGCCATCTCACCAAGAAGACCCTGGAAGTCACTGCGGTGGGTTGTAAGGTCCTCAAAAGGTTGGCTAGTTGGCTTGTACACTTCTTTTGGTCTTGCAAACTTCATTTCTAGATGATGCGGTATGTAATCAATGCGGTGGCTTGTATCTCCACTGAAAGGGATTTTTGAACTTTTGAAAACAAAAGAAGGCTTAAAGCTATGGGTAGGTTTTATCTCCTGAGGGATGTAGTCATCCTGGAATGTAGTTGAATTTCCAAATTTGACACTCGGGGGATGGTAAGCTGCTTCTGGTTTGCAAAGGTCCATTTTCTGAACATCCCAGGCTTGATAATCATCTTTAAAGTTAAAAATAAAAAGGTTAAAATGGGAAGGATCTGGTGTGAAAAACAATGTATTTGAATTTTGTAAATAAGCTAGTATTAAAAAAAAAGGTTTTCAATATTGGCAAAAAGAACTACCTTCTAAAATTCAGTTTCCCACATTTCCAAAAACCCTTCCATCTCCTTTAGGATCTAAATTATAGCATCAAATGGAAAGTTTGTCTAATATCCTTGGAGTTCTTATTTTAAAATGTTCATTTCCACCTTCCTCCTGCAACCTACAACATAGTAATAGGAAACTGGTTTCATTCTTAAATACCCTGAAATAGTACGACATTAACGTGTTTTTTTAAAATATCTTCCGTAAAAGAGCTGTTTTGCAGCTAATGAACAGAATGGTTGGAAACTAATTTTTTGATTGGAGGAGCTCTGGTACCTTAGTGGTAAACAATTGTGCTGACAATGCAAAGGTATGTGGTTCAAATCTACCAGCTACTCCATGGAAGGATGGGCAAACTCTTCCCATATAATTAACTGACTGCCTCTGGAAACTCGCTGGAGGGTCAAATATGGGCCAGTTCCAAGTTGACAGTACACCACAACAATCTCTTGATTAATGGATGCTTACTTTTCATAATACAGTTATTTCCTGTCTGGTGGGATCATACAAACCCTATGAATAACAGCTCTGAACGCTGCCCTATCGTGACCAGTCTGTCTCTCCCGTTACCACAGTCACCATGTAAATCCATCTCTTCCAGGGTCTTCCTCCTTCCTCTCCTGCACTGACCCTCTACCCTTCCAAATACGATGTCCTTTTCTAAGGACTGGTCCCTCAGGGCAGCATGCCCAAAGTACACTAATATAAAACTAATATTCTTTAACATTTTAAAAAGGTTTTATCTTAGCCTAGCAGAGTAACTGAGAGACTTCCTTATCAAACTGAAGTCTTTTGTTGTGGTTGCTGATCTACCTTGCAATCTATAGCTGAAATTTACTCCCCTTAAGCTCTGTAAACTAAAGCCAAGAAGTGTTCCTTTCAGGATGGTGCCGCTATCTCTGGAACCTTGAAAAGACCAGGCCAATTTACCTGGCACAAGGCAAAGAGACAGATTTGGAGCTCAGTACCCCCTATCTCCCCCACCCCATCTCCTACTATATGCTGGTATTTAGTAAAACAACTGCTTTTTCACTCCAACCTCTGTCTACAAGATTGACATTTCTGGCAGCAGGTGGCAGAACTGTGGTTTTTATATATACTTCCAGCTTTAATATACATCACTTTCAACTTCCAGATCTGATTCCATAACAAGGGAACAACACATCTGAGCGTGATTGCTGATAGTTTTTTGAGTCAAAAGAACTGGGTTTGGATGGGGACTGAGTTTGGGAGATCATTGTACTCCTTCAAATGGCATTTGCAGGAACTAGCTGTAATTTCCACTAACATAAAGCTGAAAAATGGACATACAACCAAGATGTCTGGAGTCAAAAGAAGAGGTCTGATGTGTGGGCAAAAATAATATCAGGATTTTTCCTTACTTTGGAAGGGACTCCTCAAAAGAGAGAAAATGTCTACCCCGTTATACTTAGACAGGACTCTCTCAGCAAAAACACAGGATTCCACAAAGATCCATGACCAACTTTCTCCCCCATGAAATGGTCTTTGAAGCCATTCCAACAGATAGAGGACCATTTTATGTAGAATTTAGAACTGAACATCAGAGCTGAAGTGAGAAATTTAAGTCCCTTAATCCTGCAATGTGAAATTTACCAGACCGAGGATAGAAGTGTTTCTAGTTAACCTAATTCTAGATGAGAAAGGTAGTATGTTAGAAAATATGATAATATCTATTTCCAAAAAGAAAATGTTTCTAAGTGTGAAAAATTTGTAAGACAGAAGTTTGTTATGATACAAAGTATTAGGTTCTAAAGTCTATACAATGCTACTAATCAAACAAAAAATCGAACTTGTTGCCATGAAGCCAAGCCAAGCTCATAGCAAGCTTGAGGCTGTCATCCTTTGTGTGAGAACAGCCTCCCATAGAGTAGCTGGTGGATTCAAACCGCTGACCTTTCAGTTAGCAGTCTGACATGTTATGCACTGTATCAACAGGGCTCCTGGTGCAATGCTCAAGAAAGGTTAAAATTCAAATGACTATTATGTGGATATTTCCTTCTAAAAAAAAGCATTTATGCTAAGCCAACTAAATTATGTACCAAATGATTACTCCCATCTTAAGCTGATTGGATGAAAATGAGCACCCATCCCAAGTTATGAAGACCTATGAAACAACACAGCAATAAAAGATAAGCAAATTCCAGCATGTTCTTATTAACCTAAGTTTAAAATAAAGAGTCAGAGTGAAGTTGAAGAATCTAAAAGGATGCCACCAAACAGAGTTGGGGAGTTTTTGCAAACTGGTCAAGGGAATCTGGAAGGGAGCAGAAGAGGCCAGGTTAATAGAGTGGCAATCAGAGGAGACGTGTAAAAGGAAGTGAGAGAAATCTTGTAGCTCATGGGAGAGATGGGAAGACTAGCTCTTCTCCTCAAACTTCTGTACCTAATAGATTTTCATTTCCAGTTCATACAGGAAGCTTTACCACAAATGTTCTTTCTCTTTTGGCACCATGACTTAATCTGCCTTGCACAATCTAATGTATCACATCTTTCTAGGTCTATGGTTGCACACAATCATGCAGGGAGAGCCCCTGCTGCCAAAACGACTAAGGGGGGGGGGTAGGGAAGGAGACATTCAATGAGAAGAATGAAACAGAAGACAAGATTTATTTCACATTAAACTAGGTTCACAACTCAAACTCACTGGCATTGAGTCAGAACCAACTTATAGCTGACCCTGCATTCTGTTTCTGAGGCTGAAAACTGCACGAGAGAAGACTGCCTATTTTTCTGCTGCAGAGCCACTGCTGGATTTACACTTCCACAGAAGCACGGCCTCAGGGCTAGTAGCACAACTCTCTGTGGACCTTGCCATAGAGAGCTTCAGGAGACTGAAAGACGAGGTTTGATAGCAAGGATACGTGATATACTAGCACAAATATAACTGAAATAAATTGCAGAAAATGTATTCCCCCCTGCTCCCCAAACTGCCTAGTCTCAAGCCTGAAATATTTCTTTCTATATCTGGAATATTTATCAATAAAAAGCAATGCTCACGTCTATTCAAATATTATACATCATTAATACCATCCATTTTTAGTGTCTATGACACTAAAGTGTAATCTCTATACAATGCCACTTTACCTTGAACATGTGATCTTATCATTTTTGACAGCTCTAGTATAAACTTTGTTAGATAGGAGATGTTTCCTCTGTTCACTGTTTTGATTTCTAGTCACCACAGTCTAGTGAGCAAGTTTTCTGTCTTCTGAACAGTGTTACGTCTAAGATATTTGAGCACTATAAACAATTGAATGTAGTTTCTCCTTTATTTTTACCCAATGAGCTTCTCTTGGGGGGGGGGGGAGAATCTTGATTTGTTTCTGTTGTTGTTAGCTCAAACTCATGTTGTTGTTGTGATGTACTGTTGAGTAGACAACAAATCACAGACGCTTGACCTAGCCTCTATCAACCTCAAAATCTCCAAAGTGCTCTAGCACCATCCTTAAAATCTCTGATATGTTCTAGTCCATTGTTGCAGTCACTGTGATAATCCATCGTGTTGGGGGTTTCCTCTATTTCTATCAATCTCCACCTTTCCCTGCATGTCTTTTCCAAACACTGGTCACTCCTGACAACATGACCAAAACATGCAAGACAAAGTTTCACCATTGATGACTCTAATGACGGCACTGGTTGCCCTTCCTTCAAGGTATATTTCTTTATTCTTTTTGCTTTTCATGGGTTATTCAGCACATCCAACATTACAAATCAAAGGTATTGATTCTTCTTCTGTCATCCTTATTAATTATCCTGCTCTGAGATGCATAAGAAGCAACTGGAAATACTGTGACTTGAATCAGGCACATCTTAAGTCTTTAATCTGATATCTTTGCTCTTGAGCACTTTAAAGAGGTCTTTACCAGTAGATTTTCCCACTGCAACATATCTTTTGGTTTCTTGAATACTATTATAGTTGGTGTTGATTGTGAATGTAAGTTGACAATTTCAACCTTTTCTCCATCTATCATGATGTCACCTATCGGTCTTGTGAGGATTTCTGTTTTCTTGATGTTGAGATGTAATCCAAAGGCTATAGTCTTTGATTTTCCATAAGTTCTCTTCACTAACACAAACAATGCTGTGTTATGAATCTTCTTCCAATCCTAATGCTACAATAGAGTCCAGCTTCACAAATTATTTTCTCAGCATACAGGCTCCATAGGAATTGAAAAAGGATATGTCTAAAGAGGAAAAAATGGGACATGGGGCACAGGGCAGTGAGCTTATCTCTGAAAGGGCCAGAAAGTGAGAATAGCACAGCCCCTCACCGCTCTGGAGCACAAAGCAGTTAAAGAACCCTTAGCCCAGACCCCTGGTGCCTCTAGAGCTCCACCAGCAGCAAGAGGTTCGTTTACTTGTTGTTGACTCATAAACTTCGTTGTGGTGCTGAGAATGGGGTTTATTAGGGAATTAAGTTGGAAAGTAGGGGAGGCAAAGAATGTCATCCAATACAAGTCTAGGTTTCTATATAAGTTTCAATATAAGTCAGTTTCTCCTTCATGCATCTGGCAAGAACAGCAAAAACCTTTAACTCTGGCCAGTACAAACACAAGAAGCCTTAGGATACACATCACCACAGTTTCTTCACAGCAATGCCACAGTCACTCCACCACCATCACCAAGGTCTTGCTCTCACCAGGGTCTCCCTCAAGACTTGCAGCCACAAGTCTTGTTCAACTCGAGTCTTGTGGGAAGCACTCTTTCTCTTGTCCTAGCCCCACAGCTGTTGATGATTTGCAAGCCCATACTGATTTGCAAGACTATGGGTCTGCAGTTAAGGTAGCTGGAGACTGGAGAGAGCTAACTATAATGGGGGAAAAAGCCCACTTTT